AATGTTTCTGATGTCAGAAAAAGGGGGCTCCGCCTATATGGCCAACTCTCCACCTATCAGGGGAATGAGAGACCGCTCGAAATCGCTGGAGACGCTGTAGTACATATGCCAGGCCTGTAAGTGGTGCTGTAGTCTGCCACAAAAGCAGAATCAGCCCTTGCAAAAACAGGGCTGGAAAAGAGCAAATAGAGTGAAATGAGGCATGGCTAAAATGCATGATCTGTTTGGTATTTTGAAAAAAAATTCACAGACATGTTTTATATAGGTATGGCCCTACAATATATGTTTCAAATATAGCATGATAGGTCCACTTTAAATTGTGGGTAAGGGTAGATAGCTCTCATTGTTCTGTGACCTGTCAATCATCAAACCGGGGGTCATATTTCATTATGTGTTCATTTGTATCTGAAGTTGTACCCATGGATGTATAAAGAATAGTTCTACCGCAAAGTTATTCTCCGTGGGGAGCAATCTTGATTCTGATTAGCCAGAAGACTCGAAGAAACGTCAGTAAAGATGTTTTATTGAGAAGATGATCACTACCTGACAGAAGTTTTCAAAACCGTTTATGGTCTCCGGTACTTCCAGTCCAACGCCTACTGCATGCACAGCTTTAGAAAATCGGGCCTTAAAAAATAAAAGTTTGACTTTATTCCACAAAAAAAAAAAGATATATATATTTTTTTCAACTTTTTTTTTTCTTCACTCACACATCTGCGACCCACTCGAAACGGGTCCGCGACCCACCAGTTGAGAACCACTGCTCTAGAGTGTGTATGAAAAAGGTCTAAAGTCTAGCTAGCCTATTTGTGAGATAGAGCTAAAGGCTAACATTAGCATGCTCACAATGATGATGTGAATATGCTGATAGTTAGCATGTAATGTTTAACTTGTTCACGATCTTTCATGCTAGCAAGCTAACATTTGTGATTAAAACATTTCACTATCTTTCATGTAAGCATTCTAACATTTGGACTTTATAAAGTTTGGTTTGATACTGAAATACGAGAGGTGTAGGAATATATTTTTCTTAGTTTTAGACTTGGATTTTCATAATGTTAACTCTTTAAGGGAAGTACCCTTGCCATTGCTAACTTCTGATTCAGTCATGTTTGACAAGCAATTTAGCCCAGACCCCAACAAATGATGTATGAAATAAGTTCAACAGTCTACCACCATGCCAGCAGCTATGTAAGGCTGTGCTAAATGCTTACATCAGCATGCTTACTTGCTTACAAAGACAATGCTAACTTACCAATAGTTACCAGGTGTTGCATGTGTTGTTAACTATATTGTATGTTAGCTTGCTCATATTAGGTAATTAATTACCAAAACAGAAATTAGTGCGGGAATGTTCACACTAATATGTCTGACTTAATACTGTAATATCAGAAGTGTGCGAACAATTTTTGCATTGTTTTATGCTTGAATGTGAATCTCGTACATTCGCCACGTAAGTTGCTAAAAACTGATGAGGTGATTTCTAAGTAGCCATTTAGCCCAGACTAAAGCCTTAATAAAATAATTATCGAGGTCTACAGCCATTCTAATGGCTATGTAGCGCTGTACTTTAAGCGTAATGCTAACATCAACATGCTAACATGTTAACAATGCTGTCAGCAGATGTTTACCTTGTTTGCTATCTTTCATGTTAGCATGCAAACATTTGCTAAATGGCACTAAACAGAATCGCTGCAAAAGTGTCTTGTTTTTCAAGTACAATATGTGGTCATAAAGCAAACTAACGGAGCATTTCATCCTGAGGGGAACATGAATGTCTGTACTGAATTTCATGACAATTCACCTAACAGCTGTCAAGACACTTTGAAACCACAACGTTAACCTTCTGGTTCTGCAAGAGGACAATTCAAGAGGATCATCAAAGTCATTAGGAGTTATTCTCTGAGGAACATTAACGTCTGTACAGAATTCCATGGTAATCCGTCCAACAATATTATTCCACTCTGAATGGAGTATGAAGGTAATATGTTTAACATAACTTAAATCACATTAAATTCCATGAGTGTGTGCTAGTAAACAGATAATAAACACCGCTCTTGAGGGCGCTAAAAGTCACTGCCTTCAGTTTCCTTCCCTCAGTTAGGGCTGACAGCTGCTTTTCTTGTACATTTGTAGTGTTCTAAGTAGCCTCTGTGCTTGACCGTGTTTGCACGGTTTATTTTGGGCCTTTCTTACACTCTCTGGGGACTGGGTGGTGTTTGTGTGTCTTTATGTGCCAGGGTGGGGGCTGAGGCCATAAACTATACCTACTCCTCTCTGCCCTGCCCACTGACAAGAATTGCGTAACAAAAATGTAAAAATCCACTTGGGTTGGGTCATGTGATGTCGCCCTCTGGCTTGTTACGGATTGTTCTCAGTAGAAAGAGATGCAGCTTTAGCCATGCAGAGCCACTAATGCATTAAAAGTGCATGTGTCGATACATCAATGACATCCCATTGGCTATTTGTCACTGGAGAGTGTGTATTTGTTTATTTTTAACGCCTGTGAGCTTGTTTGTGATTGATTGACGTGTGTTACTGTGCATCAGGCTTGTGTTTCTCCGCGCACAGTTACATACGTAGTCTTTTATTCTCAGAGACAAAGGAGTCATTTGTGTATGCGTATGCAGGGAGGAAGAATAGCCTGGTGTTTCTCCTTGTTGGGAGCTTCTCATCTGACACTGTAGGCTCCAGTCTGCTACTTCCCTAGGTGGTGGGTGGACTGTGTCCTTGTGTGTCCGTGTGAATTGCATTGATTCATTCATACTGCACTCTCCTGCACAGGGCCCCCTTAGGCATTCCTACCACAGCCCCCAGACCTGGCCGGAACAATGTCCAGTCAATTCACATCGAGCATCGGAAGTTGCTTCCGGTTGTAGCCTACTGTATGTTATTAACAGAGTTGGCACTAAAAAAGTATTATTTTACAGTTACTAGTGCTGTCAATCGATTCAAAAATGTTTCTGTTTATCACAATTATAATCCGTGGATAATCATGAGTTTAAAAAAAAAAGTATTTGGGGGGTGTTAAGTTAACACAAATATGTGTGGTGTTGTAACTGGTTAAAGAAATCAGAGTTTTTTTTTTACTTAATTATGAGATGATTTTTGAATTATTGGCATGAATTAATAATAATAATAATATATAATATTTTTATAGCGCCTTTCAGGAAACCCAAGGTCGCTTTACAAGTCGTGTAGGGGGGGGGGGGGGGAGTAGGGGAAAAAAGGCAGACAGGTTAAGGGGGGGGGGGGGGGGGGGAAGTAGCGGGAAAATAAACCTATTAAACTAACTATACAGTGGCGAATTCAGACATGTTTCTGACACTTAGCTAAAGCATCAACAACCCCGCTGTAGAGCCACTGTGACCCCCCTCTGTATAATGTGGGCTACACAGGGCGTATGGCCGTACGGTAATTTTCTCCTTGCTGCTCTCATACTGCGAGGACTATCTGTTCGGACAGTGGTGGTCCGCTATCTCCTAATGCTATACAGCTTCAAGAACTGGCTAGCGCAAACTTCAGAAAAATCCAGTTCTCCTTTTTCCATCACAACTTAAGAAGGAGTTTAGAACACAGTCATGGATTAGGTGTGTTGTTACCACAAATAGGGATGTTTCTTACCGATGTCCAGTGGTCTCCAGTCAGTGCAATTCATGTAGCTTGTGCCATACTTGGTCATGTGATTAATTTGCAGTGGGTTTCCAGATGAATCGCTAGCTTTAAAGCATCAATGTTGATAAGCCTACACATTATCTATTCAAATGTATCGTTAAGTATATAAAAGTAATGTAACCTGTTTATTTTACATAATATTATTCCCTCATCTACACGGTTTAACTTTTCAGTTTTGCAATGGTGTTATTGTAAGAGGATTACTCATGTGTGTGGTTGAGTCAGTGCAGGTGTTGCCAGCTCTGTTTGGTCCTGTGTGTAACTAGTGTGAGGGCGTGGGTGGACGTTTGTTGCTAAAAGCTCAGCGTCCGCTTTTTGTAAAGTTTCAATTTCCTTGAACTGGAAAGGAAGAAAAACGTTAAAACAAGAATCTTAGAATAACATTTATGTAGTTTCTATTTAATGTGTTGTACTGTATACAAAAGCGTGATGATATTTAGATTGATTTGACTGCACTTTGGCCAATCTTATTGATATCTAATGTACTTGCAGGATTTTCGCTTTTTTACGTTTGTTTCTTTATTGTTGAATTAATTGATTGTAAGTCGTTTTGGATAAAAGCTTAATCAGAATCAGAAACAGGTTTATTGCCAAGTAGGTAACGTATACGAAGAAATTGCCTTTAGGCAAAAAAAAAAATACACAGTCAAAGAACATACATGTTAAGAAAAGGATAAAACAAATACAAATTTATAAAAAAATCATAACATTGAAATATAGCAATATTTAAATGAAATATATATATACCTGTAAAATAAAATGTTATAAAATATGTGCAATATTGGTATGACAAGTGGAAAGCCATGCAGATACAGTATAAGAGGTAGCTTTGTGTACAATATGCAAGGTATTGTTTGCATTGTGTGCATACATGTAATGTAGTTAAAGCATGTTGTTAAAACAGTTATTCTCAGTGTTAGTGTACAGTCCCCTGAAGTGTCTCTTAGTATAATTTCAGCAGAACTGTTGAAAGTATATTTTCTTATTCTCTGCTGTGCTGACTCCTGTGCTCATTACCAGCCTGTGTTCAAACTCAGTGTGTGTCTGCAGAAGTCCTTTTCAAACCTTGTAAACCTATCCAGGGCCTCTCACTCATTCTCTCATCACAATATTAGGTCTCTCAGTGGATGCACTAAGACCCATGGGTGCTCACTTTCCGTCACTCAAAACATGAAGACCAAGTGTTTGTTAACGTTTTTGTCTGCCTCAGGAAACACAGAAAATCTGCTATTAGAGGGGACGAGACAACCTGTCCATGAAGGATATCTAGTCCAAATCCGAATACAACATAACCATTTTTGTTTCTTTTATTGTTTTCTTTTCAGGCAAGTCCTGAAAACAGACTCTTGGGTTAGTGTCGACCAATGGATGAGGATGAAATCATGTGAGCGTGTGCTAGTGTTGCATCACCATGGACTTGTAGCTTGGCAGAATCTCACCTCGATGGACTGGGGACCTCGCCTGCACACGGTTGATCTCCTGTCATCAACCTGAGGGGAGCATCTACGGTGTCATAGCAGACCAGGGAGAGGAACCAGGGTTCTATGGATCAAATATTGCAGGTAAGAATGTTGTTCTGACTTCCCTGCAGCTGGGTGTGACTGTTCTGTGCATGTTTTCGCTGACTTATACACTGTACAAACACACAGCGCAGTGTGGTTTGCTATTCTGTCTCGGTGTCTGAGCTATGCAGACATGAGATCATTCCAAACAGTGACTGTCTAGGGCTGAACGATTAATCGATTTTAAATTGAAATCGCGATTTTAAATTGAAATCGCGATTTTAAATGATGCGATTATCAAATCGCAAAGCCTGCGATTTTTTTTAACATTTTTTTTTCATTTTGTATTGTGTGTCCGTCATCCACACCAATCAGAAGTGCTGTGCTCCACATGTACCAGCCATTGTTAATCAATCAGAAGTAGCCCATGATAGAAGGTGATAGACAGATTGATCCAATCACCTGCTGTGCTTTTGAAAGTGCCTGCCCTTTCCAAATGGCTTCCAATGGAGCTTTAGATGGTTTGGTGAAACCAACCATCTGAGTCAGGTTAGTAATGCTCCATCACATGTTTCTATTACGGGGTGAATCTTAAACTGAAGCTTGACTTTAAAGCAACCCAACGGAAGTTTCATGTAAGTTTAGTTCTTTCACTCGTAGCTCTGGCTGCGGGGCTGCTAGAGACAGGAGCACGTTGATACGACCTTCCTAGCTGGAGGTATGGCCGCATTTTACAATAAACTTCCGTTGGGTAGCTTAAAAACAAATATCGCAATTCGAATCGCAATCGCAATATTTGTCAGAAAAATCGCAATTAGATTTTTTCCCAAAATCGTGCAGCCCTTTACTTTCCTCATAGTCATGAGGTCGACAGAGTAGCTCACTGAGTGTCTGGGAACTGTTCACCTTTGAAATGCAGCAAATACCCAGGGTGACATCATCTTGGGTCAAACACTGTTGGTTTTTCGTGTCTGGGTTAAAGATATCATGGCAGGATGATGAAGGAAAGAGAAACATTCTCGACGTCTTGCTAATGGTTTCCTTGCAAATATATTCCCTAAAAACAGAAGATCCATGTTAAGATCCAAGGAATGGCTGCGAGCCTAGAAGCCACATTTCATAGATGCAAAATCGTGGAATTATAACTTCCAGATCTCGTAATGCCATTGGGCCCCCAAAATACTTTCTACCATAGGCTAACATCGAAAAAAGGAAGTCGTTAAATCAGCAGATATGAAATGTTTTAAGGTAAATCAACTTCCCAATGCGAACACCAGAAAAGTCCTCTTTTAAAGCATTATGTCCTAAAAGTTGCACCGTTAGCCGAATCTAGATTTTTGTCATGGAAATGACACCATCAGCTAGGAGGCGGGGTTCAATGAAACGCTACGCTAGCTCTATGGGCGCTATTGATGCGAAAGATTGCCCGAGGATCTATTTAATGTTCAGGGGGTGAGCAATTTGTTTTAAATGTTTATTTTTAATGGCCAGTTTTGACTTTATTAGAAAGATAGATTTAATAAGGGAGAGATAGAGATGATACGGGTAAAATGACCACAGGACGGATTCAAACCTGTGACCGCCATAGCAGTTTAGGCTTCATGAACCAATAAGAACGAAAACCAGTCTACAGCCAGCATCCATTTGTCTTTATTCATCCGTGGTGGATGTGGTTGACCATTGTTTCATCAGTCCTGTGTTTGTGTTCCCATATGATGATCTGCCATGTGCCAGATTTGTTTATTGTCTATTTGTAGGAAACATTTACCGAATAACCATCCCTACAGTAGCTGATGAGGTACAGTAGCAGGAAGTGAGAGTCACACTGGTGGCTTTTATAGAACCCACTTTGTTACTCAGGCACAAACAGACCCACCTACAGGATGTCAGCCAGCCAGACGCCCAAACAGGTGTCTGCAAGCATCGGTGCACAAGAAAGGATAATCAAGTGTGTGTTTGAGAGCTACAAATAACAGAGTGAGGAACAGACAACAGAGTATTAATGCGTGTGGATTCAGGAACTGTGCCAACATGCCTTTGTGCGAGTGTGTGCCCTCAATGACACTTTGTATATGCTTTTGTTTCCTGAAACACCACCCAAATGACTGCATGCTACTACCAGGCCCGTTGTTCACTTATCTGAGGCAGACCATCAATGTTTAGCTCTGTAAATGGCTCTATAATTGGAACAGGTAGCATGGCAGCCCTGTTAAAGATGCTTATCTCACACAGTACTGTTAGTCAGCCCAGGCCTATTTCCTCTGAGAGAGGAAGTCATTTAAAGCTAAGCAGAATGCAGATTTTATCACACTCTGGAGCTTTTCAGTTGACACCTCTGCTTTGATTGATTAAATGCATACACTGTGCTGTTTATAGTAGGGCTGCTCGATTATGGCAAAAATCATAATCTCGATTATTTGGGTCAATAATTGATATCACGATTATTAAAAACGATTATTCATTTACTTTTAAAACGTCCATTTATTGAGAAAAAAAAAATGTGAACAGTATGTTTTTAACAGTTGATTACCCTGAACTTTAAGTATAATTCAACTGAAAAACCAATAAAAAAAAAAAATTAATACAAATTAATTAAATAAAAAAAAAAATTAAAATAAAGAAATAATCGTTTTATTTCGATTATGTTGTTTTCATAATCGTTGCAAGCCAAAATCGTAATTGCGATTAAAATACGATTAATTGAGCAGCCCTAGTTTATAGTGTGAGTGAGTAGCAAATGTACACTTATCAGAGAGGATTTTTTAATGCAAACAGAAAAGTGAACCTCTCAACAGGGTCATTCAGGCATTTGGTATCAAAGAGCAGATTTAGGGATATCCCAGACAGAGGCGAGAGCTTCAGGAACAACATTTCATTCTGAAGATGTGTCAATAGAGTGATGCAGTGGTGATCTACTTTTGTAGGCCGACCCGGGAGTTAGCATTGCACATGGATCCCACGACAAAAGGCTTCTCTGTATATTGCAGAAAATAAGCTCTTTGGCAAACCCACACACTTTGTTCAGCAGGATAATCTGTACTTATTAACGCCATTTTTGTTTAAGCATAAAGCTAATGCTAGGCTATAAACAACTATGGCTGCGCTTCACCACCGCTAAGTTAAAGGCGGTCTGGTGTCGAGTGATGATGTTTAGTAGTCTCCATTAGTCACCAGTTAGCATCCTGTTTTATCCACCGCTGGAGGATTTATTAACATATTATACGTCAGAGAACTTCATGTAAAAATATCTAAGGCTTGTGTCAACCACATATTTCAGGCTTCAAACCACAAACACATTAAAAAATGTTGCCTTTAAGACGAGGGAACCAGAAGTGGTAAAATGCTAAGTTATTTTCGGGTTTATTAAAGTCTGGTTGACATCGAACAATTGAAATGGAAAATAGACAACGGGTGGTGTGTTTGTAGAATAGAAATGTAGGACCGTTTCATATTGCACAAATTCAAGGAAATCATTCCTGTAAGGTTAAGTAACCTAAAGGATATCAGTTCCCAGAACTCCATGCGACTGGTGAAGCAGTAAAGAGAATACTTGGTTTCACTGGCTGTATGAGTTACTCTGGATTTAAATAGACACCTTCTAGTGAAGAAGAATGGCAGGCAGGGAAGTATGAGGATGCAGGGAAAGGGACTAAAAGAGAAAGCGGAGACTAGGAAGCGTCCCAGAATAGCAGCAGTGAGTGTGCTTTTTGTGGAGAGTGTCTCTGAATGCTTGGAGGGCCTCGGGGGCCCAGACTGACAGAGGAGAAGTCGAAAGGAAAGGGAGCCTCTGGGAGTCGAAGCCAATGAGTGTGTGCGTGAGTGTGAGAGAGAGGACAGTGTTATTTTAACCCTGAACTTACATCCGGCTGTCACCCGGCTGACTCCTCAATCAATCTACCTGCCGACCAGTTGTCACACACTGTCGCTCCTTCTTTGGCTCCCTCTCCCTGAAGCGCTTCTTTTTTTTCCCTTATCCTTTCTCTTTCCCTTTATACGGATACGCAGGTATTGCATTACCACCCCCCCTGAGGACTGGTGTATTGTCTGTCGCTTCCTGTTGTATTGTATTTCATCAGTGTTGTTAACGCATCAGATTTCATGATCTGGAACAGATCACATTGCGACAGTGTAAACTGACGCCACCGGCTTCCCGTTTTAAATGTAAGCTCTGCGATTATGTATTGCACTAGTCCATATTGTGATCTTGATCAATTGGACAGCCCTCATACGGACCTTTGATTGGATTTGATGTGAATAGTTTTGTCATCAAAATGTTGCGCAGGAAGTACAAAAGGATATATATATATATATATATATATATATATATATGATATAATACTGCTTTGGGGGGGTGCTGTCTGGGGGGGGGGGCATTGGGATATTTTTTTTTTTTAAATCCTCCGGAGCAAAGAGAGGAGCTGTGGATTATTGTTATTGATTAGTGCATCAGTGTTTCTTAGGGTCAAAAACACCCCCCCCCCCCACCTGTGTCTAATTGGTTGATTAGGGTGTGTGTGTATTTAGGCTCTGTTTCCCTGTCTGTTAGGAGGCTGGGTAGCGTGTGAGATCCTTGTGGTGGCTGGTGACTGTGCTCACGTGAACAGCAGATTGAGGCTGTGTCATACGTTTGTGAGTAATAAATGCCCACACCGGGTTGTATTTTGGACGTTCTGCCTCCTTGCTTGGTCTGGGCCGCTCAACGGTCAGCTTCACAGCGTGAATTGTGACCGTGTAGTGATGTCTGAAATTGCACATGGCTGCTGTGCCCTCAAGTGACGAGTGCCGCTGTTTGCTAGTTAGATATCTAGCAACGTAATCGTTTGTGGTAGCTAACAGTTACAGACTGCTCAATTGACCAAATAAAATGAAAGATGTCTTCTTTCCAACAGTTGTATAGTGTAAAAGGGAAGAAAAAAAAACATACGTCCATTTTTATTTGTATTGTTCTATGTTTACTGGAGAAACCGGCATTGTGGCTGGTTGCGCAACTTCCGTTATGTAGCCAAGATGGCAATCGTTTAATGTGAGTGTCCATCTTTCTGCACTCAACGTTTGGTTGT